CTTTTTAAAGTAGTAAATAAATATCATTAACAGCAAAATTAACTTCAGATCATAAAACTAAATAAGTTTTTACTTTGACAAATATTTTGTTTAGTTTCTTATAAAAGTTCTTGAATTAAACCACTATATAAAGGCATTCTAGAAGAACACATTTGTGGAATTTCATGACTGGATTCTTTTACAATTGGCTTATAATGAAATTGGCATCCTTTATGGAGAGTTGCCTTTTAATAGCTCTGACAAAACAAAATTGGCAGACATTTGTGTTTCAGAAACTGCTAGTAACTAATAGAACTGTGGTTCTAATTGACTATATTACATCCGATTAGATGGTACTAACTTTTCTGTAAAGTAGTCTTTACATCTGAATTCCGTGTTACAGAGTTCTAATTTTTTTAATCAAGTGCATGCTTGAAGAACTTAGCAATTAAATGCGTAAGAGGAATAAGTACTGAAGACTTTAATGGAATTTATTGTGTTGCAGATTTTCTGTCCGTTCATAATTTTAAGTATTGACTCTCTAGGTTCTCTTCTTTCCTTTAGCACTTAAGCATAGGCTGCTGAAACTGTAGAGTATCAGTTCAAGTAAGGAAAACAGCTAATTATATCACCCTCATTGCTTTGGCCTCTGCAGTCACCAAAAGGGTTCATTTGAGCTCTTTCTAATCCAGCCTAAGTGGAAACTATATTACCTTAAAAAAGTAAGCAAGAATTTTATATCAACATAACTGACCGCCTGGCACTTAATTCAGCCAAAGGATCAGAGGTTATGTCCTCTACTTGCAAAATGGTAAGCTTTCCAAAAGGTAGTATCTTTAAATCTTACAATTAAATTCAAAAAAAGATACCAGACTGTGCCCACTGACAACTCCATAAGTGGACATAGAATTTAGAGTTAGGGAAGACTTAAGAGCGGAACAGAAATTGGGATGTTAGTTTAATTGAAATGCTTCTAACATAGATTTAAAATTATTTTGGACAGCAGAAAATGAAGACTAGAAATACATGGGTTAGGAAATTAGGAGCCAGTGATATCAAATTAATTGAGGTGACTTGAGATTGCATCTTTTTTGTCTTAAGAAGTATTGCTATACTATAAGCTGTTTCCATTTGAATTCATCATTCATTCCAACAACTATATTTTTGAAAATGTTCTATTTTGAATTTAGGACTTGATAAAATTGAATTTCTTCAGAGGCATGAAAACCAAGAGATCTACCAAAAGGCTTTTGAACTCATAGAACATTATTTTGGTGTTGAAGAAGAGGACTCTAGTATTGCACCTCAGGTGGATGAAAGTCAGCAACAGTTTGTGTTTCAACAGCAGGAGGCTCCAATGGAAGGGTTCCAGCTCTAAACTACTGAAGTGAATATAAGCATAAAATCTAAACACTTGTACGGTTTGTTTGTTTTTTTTTTTCTCAGAGGTCTTTTCTTTATGGCCAAAGTTAGAAGAAAAGCTGAATATGTTTTGCAGAAATAGGTGAAGAAACAGCTCATGCACTTTTATATATTGTGTTAGAGACAACTGTTCTTTGTTTTGTATTTGTGTTCTTCATTATCTCTTATGTACAGAAAACTGTGAGTAATCATGTCTAAAAGCATTAAATGTGATTTAACAAGAACTGTTTAGCTAAGACTTGGTAGGATTTTAGGTAGTAGTTCTGAATTTTTCATGTAGGCTCAAACTTCATATCAGCAATACAGTTACTGACAGTTGAATTTTCAGCAGTAGGCTTGACTTGCCCAGTTTCTATTAAATCTACCTCTTGTATTGAAGCAGAACCATTGCTTCAAAACTAAGGCATGAAATAAAGATGAGCTTGTAAGAAGCTGAATTGGAATGTGAAAAATATTTATTTAAATTGTGAAACTTTTATGCATTACTTACTTTACAACACACTGTTGGAATTTATTTATAAGATGTATTTAAAGACATAATAGATATACATATATAATGCTAATTACCTAATATAATATTGAATATATGAAAACGTTTTTTCTGAATTATGTGGGAAGAGGACTATTTCAGAGGTTTTCAAATTGAAATCGGCAGAGACCTTGCTGGTCATTTGATGTTTGCTCTGTAATGAAAGCTGCTAAATGGCATTACAAGTCAGCCACAACTGCAGTACTTTGTAGTGGAAGCAGCCCCTGCAGTTACCACAAGAAAGCTGCAATGAGGAATGACAGAAGGGTGATATGCACTGATCACCAAGCTGATGTTTACAGCTGTCTTCTGTCCAGATGTGGTAACGTCACTTTAGTTTGAGAAACATTGCAAAGTTTGCCTTTTAGTACAATAGCTTCTTAAAAGTTTAGACAGTAAGTGTTGTTTTTTGACCAAGTATGCTACTGCTACTTGAATTGTTTCTTAGGTTAATGAATTTGGTTTGCTTTTGTTAAGATAATAGAAATACTGCAGTGAAAAATGAATAGTGAATCACTCTAGTTGAAGGAAAAGTTTGTTGTACTGTAAATAGCATTAAGTATGTGGACACCAAAACTAACTAGAAGTTATTGTCATCTAAATATTTAGGCTCTACAATATACAGTGTTTGCTGTTAAACACTAAAAGAAATAGAATTCTAATATTTACGTTAACAGTTTTGAGTACAGAAAAATGTATTCTCTGCTTTGACTTGCATATAAGTAGTGTTTCTGGTGTATTAGTAGTATATCTCATTTGGAGAAATTAATACTTTGGGTTAACTCTGAAGTATTGCTATTTTTTATTACCTGTAATTAATATATTAACATCAAACTCCTGGGTTAAGTGAAATCTGTGACATATGAGAGCATTTCATGCTTCATAAAAAGCTGCAATTCAAACTTCAAATCACTTACCCATGGCACTATGCTTGTCACTAAATAATATTTTAATGCACTGAAAAATACAGGTTAAAGGTGGTATCATTTACAGTACCATTTTATATTTAGATTTTTTTTTACATGCAAGTTAAGGTTCTAAGATGTTTCACTTTGATGTTACAGCAATATATTCTGTATTGTAATTGAATGTGGGACTTGAAGTGGATTTTCTAAAATTAATGGTCAGTTTTGACTAAGATAATAGTGGGAGGGAAGCAACCTCCCCTTTGAAGTCTTTTTAGTGGAAGATAGAAGTGTAAGAAGTGTATATAGGAGTGCTGTTACTTTATGAACTCTGAATAATGAGATATTTTAGCAGATGACACTTTAAACCTAGATTTGTACAGCATACAACAGTTTTGAATAGTGTGATAATATTGAGTACAGCTGCCAAATTTTCATATAATGTTAGGTGATTGTACTTATGCCCTTTCTACTCTCATAGTTTTAGGTTTTCATACAGCAAACTTCATTCTTTTCCATGGTTTCCCCACTCCCCATCTATCAAAGAACAGGGTAACAATCATGGATATCTACCAAGATTACTAGCAAATGCTGAATTTCAGTGTTCTAGTGTGGGAAAATTATTCAGGTAACAGGGTATTCCTTTGTTTCTAACAACCTTGTTTTGATAACAACCAGCTGTGCCTGCTTTTTATTTGGAGAACCCTGTAAAACTACATTTATAAGCCTCTCTTATTTAAACCAAATCTGAACTATGAAAATCTTAATTGAAAGACTTGAAAATGAAGAAAAGAGGGGACATTTAAAGTATTATATTTGTTTTGAAAGAATGTCTTCAGTTGTGTGGATATATTATTCTATCTTGTGGACAGTTAGTGACTGCACTTTACGCATTTAGACAAAGTATATTTCATGCCTCTGATACATTTAAATGGAACAGTTTGAAAGGGAACTAAAATTGATGGACTTAGGATAATGAAAATCCTTATTTAAACTCAACATTTGGTTTACCCTGATATTATTAAGAAATAATAATGAAAATTCTTTAAAGGATATACATACAGGATGGTCTCTCCTGTTTTATCACTGGGTTTGTATCATGCTTTTAAAAGCACATAAATGAACAAAATAAAACCTGAGATTATGACTTAAGGTCAGATGTACTCGTTAGGGACATAATTATGATGATGTTACCTAAACAGATGAAACCAGTATGGAGAGAGAAAAAAATAAAACTGTGATGTGAAAATCTCTTTAAGTTTGGAATTTTATATGCAATCTGAAGTGCCCCATCAATTACAAAGTCTGTTTAAAAATACAGGGGGTTGGGTTTAATTAAAAGAGTACCATTTGTTCTGCTTAAATGTGAATACTAACTAGCTAATCTATGCAACTATGCAGAGTTTTAAGATTTTTTTTATTAGTTCCCTACTCTTGTTACACTGAATCATATCTAATTTTTTGTCATTGCACTTTTGTCTGAGGACTGGTTCATACAGCTTTTTAATTTTCTAGTATTTGCTTTACACACTGTTGTTAGCAGCAATCAGAAAATAGTAATAATGTTGGCACAGAAATGTTTGCTCTAGAACAAGTTTGCAACTGGAAACTATTTATTGTTGGGCCTGTCTTTAAAAAAATAGTAAAGATGCACTATTGTCTTTCCTCCATGGTTAATTCTCAGTTGGTTTAAATTTATTAAATTGTACAACTGAGGATTTTTGTAATAGGTTTGCAAATTGATACATGGGCTTAAACTGTGACCTCAAGATTTCACTGAAATCTGGAATGAGAAATGCTATTTATTTATGGCACAACGTCTTCATATAAAGCGTGGAAACTAAATTACCTGTATTAACTTCAGATAGTAATAGTGCATCTTTAAATCCAGGCAAAAGGCCCATTACTGTAACAGAACACATATAAGTAGTATGCAATATTATGGAATGTTAAATCTCCAAATACCATACAGAAACCAATAAAACCTATTTTACAGATGTTTGCTGTATTTATTTAGTGATTCAATAAGTGTTGCTTCTTAAAATTGAAAAATGCAAATACCATTTAGAATACAGCATTGATGCCAATGAGTTCCAAGTGGCAATTCGTGCACTATCACCAGACAGAAAACTTCTTGGATTTAAATATTTTGTGGTTATCTAACCAAAGGTAACTGGCATTCTTAAGAAACTACTCTACTCCTTTAAAACTAATTACTGCTTTTAATCATATGTAAAGCATTCTAAATAGTTTTAATTATATGCAACAAGTATCCTGAATATCTTCCTAAGGAAAGAGACTTTCCCTTTCTTTTTGTGATGCTGTAGCTGCCCTTACTGGCTTCAGGGTGTGCAAACTATGGTTGTCCATTTAGGGGTGAAACTCACTAATTGCTCTCAGCAGCAGCTCATTTTGCTCTTCGGAGGACATTGAGCATTTCAGGTGAAGTTATTTTGTCTTCGCTTCCGCGGCCAGCGCAGCCTCCTTCCGCCACTTGGCCTTCTTTGCCAAGTTCAAGCTCGTTAAGGACTCATGACGTGCAGCAGCCTGAGGAAGTAACAGCACAGGAGTAAGGATGCACCCAGGGAAAGCTACCCAACCTCGGGAATGGGCAACAGCCACTTAGGGTGGAAGGGGTGACTGAGACTAGATTAGCTAAAACTTGGGCAGCTGTACGCTGCTGCTCTTGGTTTAGATTTGTGTACTTTTCACAGAATTCCATTATTTTAAAATATGCTACAGTCATACACACCTTCTTAGCTGAAGCAATCACTGCAAAACAGGCAATAATTGAGAGCCCAATCATGATGTAACAGGCTTTCACTCGAGCTTTGTTTCTTGCCTTGTCTAGCATCTCTGGCCTGCAATTAAAGTAGTTGAACTGAGTCATTAAAAAAGGCAAAGTATCTCTTCAGAGCATTGCAGACATAACATCACAATTAAAAAGTAAATATAGAATTAGCTTCTGAAACAAGCATCTTCAGCTTGCTGCGGTTAGTTATGCATCAGCCATTTTCTGGTCCTAATCCATTTTCCATGGAAAAGCAACATTTAGTGGATTTAGACTGTTTTGGGGTTTTTTAAGCTGGGAAAAAATTGCTTAGGCAATAAATGTTTGCATTTCAGTGCTCAGGGTAAATACACCAGAAATCATACCTTAAACTCTAAACATAGAATGAAAATTAAGTGGGGTTATCTGTTTAAAACAGATGGAGACGTATATGAGGTGTCAGATGGATGGAGTAAAAGCAAGTTCCCTTTATTCAAAGTTAACTTTAGAAATCAATTACTGTTATATCTAACCTGTTCAGATGGTGTTCTGTAGGCTAAGAACTTTACATCCTTGGATTGTTGATTAAAGCAGTGTTTGTACTACTACGAGTTAAAGGATTTAGTTCTTTATTAAAGCAACAGCCTGACAGAAAGTGGGCAGCTGATGTCAGCCACCTCACTATTTCAGGAACGCACACCTAAACAAGAACAAGCGACAGGATTGTTTTTGCTGGTCATCAAAGGCAAAAGTCTTCTGTTTGGCAGTAGTCGGTGCAAAGGAGGCATTTTACAGCCTAGCAATCTGCTTTGGTCCACCCTCCTCTCTTAGCCAGCAGCATGGCCCTGGGGACCAGCAGTACAGGAAATCATGAAAATTGTCCCAAAACGTTCAGCTAAGTTTTTCCAAGTCAAACATTGTACTTGAGAGTACAGTTTTTAAGATGTTCATAATAATACTGGCTGTGCACAATTTTCCTTTCATAATTAAACAAGGAAATGTTTTATACATATAGATAAACCCACAGCTATATGTGTAAAAAGAATGGTTGCGTAAAGAATTGATTTTGTGTTCTACGTAAACATGGTGTAACGCTCTCTTTCCTTCAAAAAACTTTTAGATTTGCTTTAACATGGTAGGATGAGGCCGAGCTGGGGATTTGACAGTGCCCATGAAAGCCTGCACGAAGGCTGAGGGCTGCAGTGCTTGGCTCTAAGGTTCAGTGTTGTGGAAGAGGACAGTTCCCATGAGTGGCAGTGCTGTACCATCCCTTCCTTGCAGGTTGTGCACACACTGTTTCTTACAGGTGACTAACAATGCCTGAAGTTCTAAGGAACTAAGCTTCTGGTTTGTACAGTGATAAAAATCATCTTCAAAACAAACTGCACATCAGACTGGCACGTAGGATCATTAATCCAATAATCCATTTGTGGCAACAAAAGCAAAACCATAAATGTTATTAGTCTGATGTATTAGCCTAATTATATTTCACAGTGCACTAATTGAAACTCCTCTGAGGCAGATTTTCACTTTCTCCCTGCCTTCTGCATTTGCTTCAAGGAAAACAGACCTTACAATATTCTTGCCTAATCGCTTATTAGGGCCTTTGCTATTCAATCCTTAATCAAGACTCCAGGTAAACCTCTACTGAAGTCAGCAACAGCTGGGGTTTTTTTAAAAAAACAAACCACAACAACCTTCAGTAAAGACTGCAGATTTGTTTCACAGTACAAACTATCTTCAGCAGTTAGGTTGTGTTATAGGTAGCAACACCTTGCAATTATTTTTTCGATGAGAGTTAAAACAGTGCCACTGTTCAGTCTCAATGTCTAACAATTAACTACTTCTAGTATATTACTATGTATAGTATAGTATAACCAGAAAGGAGTGATGTGTGTATAACTGGCAAATGCCATGTTTTTATAAACATCTTCCAATGACTTAAATAGCATTTACAGCTCCTCAGACATATCTGAATCTTCCTCTAGAGAAAGATGATCAAACTAATAGCACAAGAGAGGTAAGACTGTCCAGAAAGCCACTCTCTAACTCAGCAAACTCCAGTGTAACTGCCAGGAACCAGCAAGAATAGGCAGAGGATGTACCTGTTGCTTTACACAGCTCTGCACACTGTTTATTCTCAACATGTCACCCAAGACAGGGACATACTGTGATGATAAAAAGTAGTGTCCTGGAGAGATGTCTAACACGCTATCTAACATCCTAAGAAAAGGGAGCCTTAAACATTAGAGGAGTTTCAGGTGGATAGCACCTGACTCCCTTAGGGGTTGCTAATTTTCAGCAAGTCAGCGAACTGTAGAGTCTGTGTGGTTTGGGTGACAAGGGACCTTCAAAGATAATCTAGTCCAGTGGGTCAGCAAGAATAGGAGACTAAGGCTATGTCAAATACTCAGTTTTCCTTGATGAGGGATTCTCCTTTCATTACCTCCTTCCCTATTTTTCCTCAAATTCTATTAAAAAAAATAATTTGTTCTATGTAATCATTTAGTGACAGCTCCCTCAGAACAACTGTAATTTTCTGTTTATGTGAGCTATAAACAGAAAATATTGTTTACCCAGTAACATCTCTCTGATTGCACATTAGGAATAAGCAAAACAAACAAGTCAATACATAAATGTAACCAAAGCTGTCTACTCAGATGGATCCAGTTCTTAATCCCAGGCTCTAGGGACTCCAGCAAGGAACATTTTCTCATCTTAACCTCTAACCAGGACAGGAAATTCTCTTGCCCTCTAATTTGTTTCCAAGTCTCAGAGTTGTAAAACCAACCGTTTTAAACTCTGCGGAAAAGCTTTAAATTTTCCACAGGATCAGGATCACGCCACTGCTTTCCCTACAGCTCCATGTTACCCCTGGACAAGGCCAGCGCACTTACGGGATCCTCAGAGGAATCTCTTCTTCTGTCTTGAAACGTCCAGTCCACAGGAGGATTTTCTTGTCAAACTTCGAAGGTTTGTAACTTGCGACTACCCTGTGAGCCTGCTCAGCTTAAAGAGTAGGGAAAAAAAAACCACTTTGTAAACCGTGCACTAAGAGAGAACTATGAGTGATAGTAACATGTGGAAGGGGGAAGCCCTACCTATTTTGGTCATTGGAAGAGTAATTTAGGGATTCAGACCTCCAGGTCTCGGCTACGCAGAGTCACCTCCGCGCCGTCTCTGGAATATCCTCGCACGTAGCGAGTGTTTCTGTGGGTCTGATTCGACCTCCCCACCCGCGGATGTGGGTACCCAAGCGGGCAGGAGAACGCTCGGGACCACCGGAGCTGTTGCGCCACCGGGCAGCCCAGCCCCGCTCCGTCCCGGTCCCGAGCCGCCCGCCCGCACATCCCCCCGTCAGTCCCGGGATGCCGCCGCGGGGCCGATCCCGGCGCCTCCGCTTCCCCCTGGCGCGGCGGGCAGCTCCTTACCGCGGGTGGTGCCCGGGCTCCGGGCGGGATCCCCGGCTGCCGCGGCTCCCCGCGGCGCGGGCGGGCGGAGCGGCGCGGCGGACAGCAGCCGCCCCGGGCGGAGGAGCGCGGCCAGCATGGCGAGGATGGCGAGGATGGCGAGGAGCGGCGGGACCCTCTGCTGCAGCGGGACCCTCTGCCTCGGCCGGAGCCTCTGCCGCAGCGGGAGCGACCCCGGCTCCGCCCGGCCCCGCCCGGCCCCGCCCCGCCCCGCGAACCCTTCCAGCCGCGCCGGAGGAAAGGCAGGACGGACACCCGGCGGGGGTCGGTCCTCCGGAGAAGGCGTCTTGTTCACCTACCGCACTCACGGATTGCAACTCAGGCGAGAAAAAGTCAGCGTCCGAGATAAAACTCGGCTAAAGAAAGAGATGCTTTATGTTAGGTGCTTTATGTTAGATGCTTCATGCTGGAGCTTCATGTTAGGACGTGCACCTGCTGGAGCGAGTCCTGAGGAGGGCTACAAAAACAACCAGAGATCAGGAGCACCTCTCCCGTGAAGACAGGCTGCGAGAGCTGGAGTTGTTCAGCCTGAAGAAGAGAAGGTTCCAGGGAGAGCTTACAGCACCTTCCAGTGCCTAAAGGGTCCCACAAGAAAGATAGAGAAGACATTTTTACAAGGGCATGTAGTGATTCCTATACCTCCATTACAAGGAGTAATTCTTTAAACTGAATTGTGATGGGTTTAGATTAGGAAGAAATTCTTTCCTGTGAGGTTGGTGAGACACTGGCATAGGTGCTCAGAGAAGTTGTGGATGCCCCATCCCTGGAGGGTTGGATGGGGCTTTGAGCAACGTGGTCTAGTGGAAGGTGTTTCTGCCCATGGCAACTAGATGATCTTTAAACCGTTTATGATTCTATGTAGAGTATAAATTCTGTGACACAAACCTGCTCACATCTGTGTTTCTGTCATTTTACTGCTTTCAGAATGCCCAAATATATTAATTCTCGTCATAGGCTTTTCCACCTACTTCAACTGAAAAACTTTTGTTTGTTTGTTTTCCCTTTCACATCCTGGACAGAGTTTTATTTTAAAAAAATAAAATCAAATAAAGAATTAACCCTGAAAAAAATATTGAGAGAACCCAGCACAGAATAGACAATTACTAAGTAACAGTTTGTGTCAGCATGACAGCTTAAGACTGTCTCAACAGAACTGTGTGCGATGCACCAAGCAGTGGAAGATTTTACATGCATCAGCCAAAGCCAGAATGGCTGCAGATGAACAGAGGAAGTCCCAGTCCCCAGGGATGGATCACTGTCTGGCAACAGCTTAAGTCCTGTTCTCAGTATGACAGCACAAAAGAGGAGTTTTGAACTATATGTACCAAAATCTCCAGCTATCTTTTCTTCAGGAGCAGAGCATATAACAAAAAGGAAGACATGTACCTCTTTGCATGCACACATGCTCCTTGAGCAGCTGTCTTCTCTTTCAGAATGTTGTCAAGGAGATGAAGACACATCAACAGAAATGACCTAGAGGATGATACTTTACCTTTGCTCAAAGAGAGTGTCATATTGTCAAGCAGTGCTCTTTGTCCCTGAAATCACAGCTGGGAAGGGTAGGAAGAGTCGGCACATCTGGTCTGGGCCCAGTGTCATTATGAGCAGCATCCCAGCCCACTACTATTGGTTGCCCCTCCTGATGGTCACCCACACATTCAGAGTCACTGTAGCTCCAATGGCCATCAGCAGAGCTGCTGGGAGAAAGCCTGGAATTCACGTAGTTTCCAGCACTCACCAAAGAACTGTTCTAAAGATTGTGGGCAGCTGAAAGCCACCTACACAGCCAGAGCTACTGAAATTGAGGGAATTATGCTCTGGAGAAAAGGATGTCAAACACTTGGCTTTCATGGCCTTCATTCTCCCTGAAGATATTTTATATTGTATGATAATGACTTCAGAATGCATCATTTAGCATTTTTAACAATGTATGACATAAGCCCCAAAAAGGTTACATAATGTTTACATCCAGAATAGCCTCCTGCTGACCTTAACAAACAGCACTTTCCCATTTGATTTCTCTGTGAACAGCACTGTATTTGGAGACATTTTCTCTCTCTATTGCTCTGAGAGATGGAACACGTGCCTGTGGGAGGTTAGTGTTTTGAGAAGTGGTTTCAGTAGGGAAGCAAAATGTGCTCTGGGCCAGAAAAAAGGGCTGGTGCCTTTGACATCACATGGCCTGACCTTTGGGCCATGGCTTGGGAGCACCAGGATAAGACTTTGCTATGACTCGGGAAGGCGATTCCTGTTCTGTGTTCTGAGGATGAAAATCTATTTCAGGCTCATTTAATGCCCCGGTGACTGGCAAGAGAAATAGTTAGGTTGCTGGAATATTTACTGCCCTGGGCAGGACAATGTGCACAAATGCTCCATAATAAACTTTTTTTTTTAAGCTTTTTCAAATCATCTCTGTGGGATAGTACAACCCCTTTATGTTCTACTTACATGTGGTCACTTGCTTCTTGCAGACAAAGCATTTAAAACCATGTATCACATCTTGGTATAATGTCTCTTTTTTTGCTGCCAAGTCAAGCTCGCAAACCTGTTACATCCTCTCTGCTCCACCATGGACTGTGCTTTGCACAGAAGACCTGAGTAGCTGGAGAATTAGATGGAACATGTTGGGCTCCTTTGAGATTCTGCCGCATGTGATGTCTTTCCTCAGAGATACCTTGGTAGAGACCTTCACACTGCTGTCACCAGACCCTTCATCAAGATATTGTCCTCATTGTCCTGCAGGATTAATCCCTTACCATACACAGCTTTCAATCTAAAGGACATTTCTAAGCAGGCTGAGGTCTCAGTGGAAACACCTTACAGATGCAGGTATTGCTGTTGTTCAAGGCCAAACAGAAGCTCATGGGGAGAGGCAAGGAAATTAAGTAAGCAAACTCAATTTTAAATATCAATGTGGCTTTAATCATTCCCTTTCATATCGCTTCAAGGCATGCTACACTCAACACTTTTGAAAACAATAAATACAGGTACAACATTGCAGCCAAATTAACTTTTCTAACCAGCTGATTGCTGACAGCAGTGCAATGTAAGCTTTGCTTCTCTTTTTAGGGGGAGACTTCTTGCTGCAATGGCAGTCAAATTGCAGGCATTTTAACCTTATCATGCATAACCTCATATGCAGAAAATTATTTCCAACAACTGAAGTATAAACAGCATTCAACATATAAATATATACACATAACTCTTCATTCCTACAATAAGCAACAGAACATATGTATTTACACAAATCTGTATGTGAATTGCACTCTTGCCTTTCAAATGACTTTAAAATACCTTCATAGATACACAATACCAATGATTTTAGTATTATTTAACAGTAACATGGCACAGAAGTTAAAATAGGAGTTTCTATGTTCTGGGCATTATGAATACGGAAAAGTATTTTCCTCTTCCTGTATTGACAATGTAGCTCTGCTGTTTAAGGTCTGTCTGAAAAAGCTCCGTGGAAAAATTCCTCCTCCTCTGAATGTGCCCTTTGCCTCTCATACAGAAGGCACAGCACAGCTGTGCTCATGGAGCTACAGAGCAGAGACTCACTCAGTGCAGATCATGCCAGGTCATCCTTATGCTATTTCTATGTATCATAATGATGCATTGTCATGTTCTTATTGAAAATCACATTTTAAAAAATATGTATCAACGCCCTTAAATTTTCCACGATGTACTCATGCTGATACTGGTCATTACATTATTTATGCTAATGAGAGGAATCAATTCGTGGATTTAAGTTTTGTCATTACACATTGACTTTACAGTCTCAAGTAAAAGAACACCTGGGGCTCTCTCTCCTTGTGCATCAGAGGAGGTGCATGAGATGAAACTGTATTTCTTCTGAGTATGGGGAAAAAAGGCAGATGAACATTCGTATAACTACAGAGTTCCAGAAGGATTCTCTAATTTCTTTATAGATCTATCTCTAGTTCATTACCATGCTGGTAAACACAAGGAGCCATAAATATTACTACAGCACTCATCTGGAATTAGGTGTGGAGTTTTGGGGAGGAAAAAATTCACTGATACCAGATGAAAAGAGTTACTTTTGGAATTTCAGAAGAATAGAGAGCCTATCTTAAAAGTGGAGACTAAAGGACTGGACTTGTTTATCTTGGCAAACAAAGGCTGGGACAAGGTTCTCTTTGATCTGTAGAATGGGGCCAGATGAGAAGAAGAGCTCCTTAAACAACTGAGCATCAAAGAGGCAAAAGAAGTAGGGAAACTCATGTGGTCCCACTTACATGACTGAGAAACAGTAGTTTTGTGATGCTGCTGCCTCACTTGAGGAAGGGAGGCTGCAGAATAGGTTCCTGCAGGTCTGTGTGGGCTCGATGGGGAAGGAAGGGAGCTGCTGAAGGGGACTGCAGGTCAGGGAGTTTGCAGGAGCAAGGGATGGACTCTGTGAGTCAGGAAAGCCTTTCAGATCTGGTAAGGGCTAACTGCCTAAGAACAGAAAAAGGTGTTTCATGTGGCCTGCCCTCCTTGGGGATACCAAAAGGAAAGAGATCTGAAAGAGAAATGGCTCCCTAAACTGTTTTTTTTAATTTCTGGTACTTTAACAATGGCCAGTCATATGCTGGAGACTCTTTTCCTGACCATAGTCCTCGCAGCATTTTTAGGAAGAACTTTGCCTTTTATTAGTGGCTGCCCAGGCACTTGGAAATGGCAGTTTCCATTCACAGAGTCATTCTCAGTTTTACATGAGTCCGTGATAGTAGCTCGGAAACTGGAAGATTTTGAATCTAAAGAAACCTGACTGACAGCAACACTGCCTGCACTCTTAGAGGAGTAAGTGTAAACCATTTTGAGAAAGGCAGATTTGGTGTTTGTTTCTTGCTTGTAAATGATGATATAGCATTTTGGAAGAAAAGTGCAGCAGAGGATTCCATAATTAGATATTAAAACAACGATGATTTCCACTGCTGGCAAGTATTTGCCAAATGTAGTAGCGTAGACAGGGATAAATACGATCCATGCTATAAAGTAAATTAGCATGCCAAAAGTGATGAATTTAGCTTCATTGTAATTCTCTGGCAACTTCCTACCCTTAAAGGCAAATATGAA